CGTCTAGGTTGGAAGAGACCTCAAGATCATCAAGTCCAACCTCTGATCTAACACTAACAAGCGCTCCACTAAAGCATATCGCTAAGTTCAACATCTAAATGTATTTTAAAGACCTCCAGGGTTGGTGACTCCACCACTTCCCTGGGCAGCCCATTCCAATGCCTCACAACCCTCTCAGTAAAGAAGTTCTTCCTAATATCCAACCTAAAACACCACTGGCACAACTTTAGCCTGTTACCCCTTGTCCTGTCACCAGGCATGTGGGAGAATAGAACAATCCCCACCTCGCTACAGCCTCCTTTAATGTACTTATAAAGAGCGATAAGGTCGCCCCTGAGCCTCCTTTTCTCCAGGTTGAACAAACCCAGCTCCCTCAGCCGCTCCTCGTAAGACTTGTTCTCCAGACCCCTCATCAGCTTCGTCGCCCTTCTCTGGACTCTTTTGAGCACCTCGATGTCCTTCTTGCAGTGAGGGGCCCAAAACTGAACACAGTACTCGAGGTGCGGCCTCACCAGAGCTGAGTACAGGGGGACGATCACCTCTCTAGCCCTGCTGGCCACACTGCTTCTTACGCAAGCCAGGATGCCGCTGGCCTTCTTGGCCACCTGAGCACACTGCTGGCTCCTATTCAGCCGACTATCCACCATCACTCCCAGGTCCTTCTCTGACAGGCAGCTTTCCAACCATTCCTCTCCCAGTCTGTAGCTCTGCTTGGGGTTATTGCACCTCAGGTGGAGGACCCGGCACTTGGCCTTGTTAAACTTCATGCAGTTGACCTCAGCCCATCGGTGCAGCCTATCCAGATCCTCCTGCAGAGCCTTCCTACCCTCGAGCAGATCGACACACGCACCTAACTTGGTGTCATCTGCGAACTTACTGAGGGTACGCTCAATGCCCTCATCCAGATCATCGATAAAGATATTAAAGAGGACCGGCCCCAGTACCGAGCCCTGGGGAATGCCACTAGTGACTGGCCTCCAACTGGATTTGACTCCATTCACCAAGACTCTTTGGGCCCGGCTATCCAGCCAGTTTCTAACCCAACGAAGCGTACGCCAGTCCAAACCAGGAGCAGACAGTTTCTTGAGGAGAATGCTGTGGAAAATGGTGTCAAAATCCTTGTTGAAGTCAAGGCAGACCACATCCACAGACTTTTCCTCATCCACCCAGCGCGTCACTTTGTCGTAGAAGGAGATCAGGTTCGTCAAGCAGGACCTGCCTTTCATAAACTCATGCTGACTGGGCCTGATCACCTGGTTGTCTTGTAAGTGCCGCATGACACTCAGGATAATCTGCTCCATGAGTTTCCCTGGCACTGAGGTCAAACTGAGAGGCCTATAGTTCCCTGGGTCTGCCCTCCGGCCCTTCTTGTAGATGGGCGTCACGTTTGCTAGCCGCCAGTTGACTGGGACCTTCCCTAATAGCCAGGATTGCTGATAAATGATGGAAAGTGGCTTGGCCAGCTCTTCAACCAGTTCTCTCAGTATCCTCAAGTGGATCCCATCTGGCCCCATTGACTTGCGTACATCCAAGTGCCGTAGCAGGTCGCCAAACATTTCCTCATGGATAGTGAGGGCCACATTCTGCTCCCCATCCCCTTCTACCAGTACTGGGTATCCAGAGAGCAACTGGTTTTGCCGCTAAAGACTGAGGCAAAAAAGGCATTAAGTACCTCTGCCTTTTCCTCATCTTTTCCCAGTGAAAGAATCTTGAGATGTGTCATGAAAGGCAACCATTCAATTTATCATGGCTTGAAAAATATTATGGGCAAACACGGCAGCATAACATTGCTAAAGTAGCCCAGCACATTCCCTTGGAGGTCTGCTTTTCTGGAGCCAAACTTTTGTTAGAAAATTTTCAATCAAAATGATACTGCTGATTACAAGAGAAAAGGATAGATATTTTCACTGTACCTATATTAAAAATAAAATAAAATAAAATGATTTCTGAGACAGTTTTTGAAATGTTTTGGTAGTGTTTGTGCTTTGAATTTTAGCCTGGATAATTTGCAAGAGGCTGGACAGTGTCTTAGATGTGCTTTGTGCTATTCTTAAGGAATGTTACAGAGACCTGCCCAAGTCAAAAGCCTGTGGAAATCAAACAGACTATGCATGCACCATAAAGACCTAATTAGGTTTGTCAGTTAAAGTCTCTGGAGATTATGCATCCTTCATTTTCTCACAGCTCCTGCATGTGACCAGACTGCACATGTACCACCCCCACAGCAGAGCAATTGAACTGGCTTCAACATGAGCTATGAATATTCCCTGTACATGGTGGCTCCAGGGTATGATAGCTCTGGAGTTTAGCACTTGTGTCTCATGTGCTCTCTGTAGTTCCCTATTCAACCACCAGGTACCACAAGGCGGGTAAGAAATGGGTATGGCATTAGAAAAAGGACTAACTAAACTAAGGCCAAGAACACAGTAAAACTGTAGATAATAAAATTATACTCAGACACACTCTAGGGGTTTGTGGGACCAAGGGATTACAAATTACAAAGCTGGAATTTATTGGGTGGGTAGCAAGGAATTGGGTTTTAGTAAAGGAACAAGAGTATAAAAGAGGGAGGAAATAGGAGAGCAAATTTGAGGAGTAGTTAAACACACTCGTTAGGAAAGAGGACCACATGACCAAATGAAATCTGCTCATCCCTATAAGAGGGGATCTTTGGGGGTGTTTTTAGTGATTATTGTTTGTTTGTTTTCAGTCTAAAGTTCTCTGCACATGTGTATAAAAATAAAAAAAAAAACAACACTGTTATTTGAGCTGACCATTTAGCACATTCTAGGTATAATGTAAATCTTGTGGGTAACCATGCAGAATGTTACTGCTCCTAAGAGTAAAAATGCTTTTGCACAAATTCAGGTCTGCTACAGATCTTGTCCTCCCCCTCAGCTTCTCTGATGCCAGCCTCTGTACATGCATGGCCAAGTTCTGGCTCCTTTATCATAGATTCGCACATGATCAAGCAGAATCAAACTGTGATGTCCAAGCCTACAACTTGACAAGTAATTAATGGTGCACTCTGTTCCTATTTCCAAACTAAAGTTCATGGATTTTAAAGCCAAGATTTAAGTTTTCCTAGTATAAGCTGTGAAATATCAATATATCTATTTCCCACCAATTTCTCTAGTCTGTGTCCAGGCTCCTCATATGACTGATTGTAACATCTGATGCAGCTGACTGCTCCTGCCAAAACACAAATAAACCAACAAATAAAAGAACCAGTTTGTCAGCACAAGCAGGGACAGTGAATAGAGAACAGTAGCTCCTTTTGGGCTGCTTGCCTTCTTGCAAAACACACATCCTCACTGACAGGAGATGTATCTATAGCATGTGATATGAGAATCAGGTGAACTAATGCCCTAACATAGGAGCTGAGTCTCTGCTGTGGTCATATGAAACCCCTCACCTTCAGTTAAGCTCATTTGAAATGCTGAACTCTACCAGCTGAGCTGAGATGCAGATTATCAACTAATCTTCTTCCTTGAAAGAGGAGGTTTCTGGTCTCTCTCTTCATCTCATTAGTATTTCATAAATAAATAAGTAAATAAATAAATAAAGTAAATGTCCCTTCATTACCAAAGCAGAAAATCTGTGTATAACTAACCAAAAAGTTAAACAGCGCAACATATATGTGCATTCACATGTTTACATAAACAGATATGTGTGAATACAAATGCGCACATGCTGATATAGCTATATATGTACATGTATTTATGTCTGTGGCATTTGCCATCTGTTGGCAGTGTAATACTGGGAAGAAGCATCTGGCATTGTTTCATATAGTAAGACCTTTTGACAGCTGATTCTAGGGAATACTCTACCTTTGAGGATTAAGGAATAATTAATTAGGACTAGGTAAGTATTCTGCAGAACACAAAATTCCTACATTGAAAGCAAGAGTTTCAAAGTACTCTGATTTAGTTTTCAGCTGGCTTAAAGCCTAAAATCAAACTTTTTTTTTTTTTTTTTTTTTTTTTTTTTTTTTGGCAGGATGCACTCATTATGTTTAGGGCAATTTAAAAGTGAAATGTAACATATTAATAATGTTACTTGTTAATTTTGCATCCAGATTATTATTATGTCTTCAGAAAGGCCCAAGTTGTGAATTATAAGCACTGAACACAGAGGGGGGAAGATTTATTAAGAAAATCTTCCAGAGAAATAGAGTGCAAGGGGTAGGAGAAGTGTGCTGGATGAACTACATGGTGCACTGTGTGTTACCGGTGGGTTTAATGGGTCCCAAGCACTGGAAACAGATGTGGCATTCAAGCTATTCAAGGGCTAAAATGTTTTCTTGGTTATCAGATGGAACTATTCATTGGCTTCCAGGTTCAAAAGTGCTTAAATCATTGCTGCATTTATTGCACTCACTCAGAGCCTCCAAGGGCTCTTTTTAGTTATCTGTCTCTGCAACCCTTTCCTGGGTGGAGTGTGAGAATGAAACAAGTAGTCTCTTGGAATACTATTTGCTTCTGTTTCCAGAAGAAATCAATCACATGGTGTGGGATACAATCAAGTTTAGCAAAGGAAATGCTACAGCCTTTCAATCTTGCAGCAGGCAAAGCAGAGGTGCTTTTCATTGCTTTGTTGTTATGCATTGATTTTGAATGAATTAATCCAAATTGTAAGCAGGAATTGGTTGAAGACTGGAGACATATAAAAGGTTATCTTCCTCAAAAGGCAAGGGGAAAGCAATTCAGTTGCTGTCCTCTAGAGCTGGCAAAGACAGAAAAGACATTTGAAACCAGAAATATATTCCAAGTCATTAAATTTGTAAGGAGGATACAAATTTTAAACAAATAATAGGGTCTGTTTTGCTACACATATGTACATACACAGGCATTCACAAACACACACATTTTCATGTTCATATATGACCTTTTTGTTCCTAGCAGACATCACGTGCACTCCACATCATCGTAAGTTTCAGAAATTTCCATCTTGTCATTTTTTTTTATAGTCTCCAGATGATATTTGGGGGACTCCTATTTTTATTTATTTATTTATTTATTTTTTATGGAGGACTAACTTTGTGCAGATTTTCACAGTGGAGTCATAGCCTATTCTTTCAATAAATGACATGATATTTTTAAAATGAATGTTTATGTCACTATTATACAAGAATTCATAAAATTAACTTACAAGGGTTACATATGCATTCACAATTGTCTTTAAATTTTCTCACAAGATTCACATTAAATTCTGTGGAACTTTTAATTGTTTGGGTTCTTTTTTTCAGGTGGCTCTGGCTGTTCTGCATTGCCCTTTTTACTATCTACTCCTCCTGACCACTTGCATCTGAAGTACAGATGGTGCAGCTAAATGCCACACTACTGCATGTTAATTTGTGTGATGGCACTGTTACTTGAGGCCTGCATGAATTTTGCCATGTAGGGTTGTGAGACCAGGGGATTATGCCATTGGATGTAGCTCAGCTCTTCAACAACATATGGAAAATATTTATTACACTCAAGTAAGTGGATATCTTTATATAATTTCACGAGCCACTGATGTGCAGTTGCCGTCAGAAAGAGAGCAAGAAATAATCCATACCATTCAACAGCAGTATAGAGAAATAATCATATCCAAAGATGCTGAGTGAGGTGTACCTGTGAAAACTGAGGTAAATATATGGACAGGTAGACCTTGGTCAGGATGTGAGGGGGATGAATTCTTGGGTCACACTCACATGTTAGGATATTGATGCATAACTCAAAAGACAGTGTTGTCTTTGGCAGTGCTGAAGCTCTCAGAGTGACATGGGGGAAGCTGCAGGATAATTTCAGAGGCTTAGATGGCATCTGTGAGAGCAGGGCCATGGCTGGCGACACCTGAAGGATGATCCTGACCCAGCGGTTGCCTGGGCACAGGTTACCACCACACCAGGTTGTTCTATCCTTCTCTCAAGGCTGGTCACTTGCTGATTTGCCATGTGGCTCTCTGCCTCACCTACAAGTCCCTTCGTCTTCTTCCTTCCAAATTCTGTGAGCACCAAATGCAATTTCTGCAGTGTTCATTTAATTTTGCTCACTATCTGCAAATATGCTGATGTGGATTAAGCCTCATTCATTAAAGCTAAATGAATTGAAATCATGATTAACAGTAATAAATACAGCTGTTAGATTGTGCACTTTATTACCTGGGTTCTTTGGCAACTATCCATTATTTTAAAGCAGCATCTGTTGACTTACTCTAATCTTGTATGAGAATGTGAAATAGATGTTTTGCTTTTTAATAAAGAAAAGAGGGTAAGATATTGCTTTTGAAAATTCACAGCTGCATATGCTACTAATATTGATGATGAACTCAACAGCTAAATTAAAAACAACCCAGACATCATGCTCAAAGGGAAGCAGCAACGTAGTAATAAATAGTTGAACCACACCACAGTGCAACAAGGAAAAGAAAAATCATTACATGAACTTCTTTGTGAGTCTTCAGTGAAACATAAATGTAGATGTCATTAATAGTTAATAGGAAGCTGCCATCTGGACAGTTGGTTGATGCAAATTCTGGCACTTAGAGGTGTCATTTCTCTTGGAAAACATGAGAAAATCAGAAATTTTGAAAGATATTGCAAAGAAAGTTTGACTGTATCTCTTTTTAATATATTAAATTTGGCTGTGAGCAAATACAAAGCCAATAAAAAGGTTTCCTCTTATTTCTTCACCTTTTTGATCAGGGCAAAGTTCACTGTTAAAATACATTAATGATATAGACCTCTATAACTGTAAACACAGGGAAAAAAAAAAAAAAAGGCAAGATGTCCTTTAGCAAAATCTTTTCTCATGCATTCCAAAAAGGTCTGTATTACTTGATTCCTACTTTATACCAAAAATCCTAAAGTCAGAGATAATTTTCAGGAAAGAGAAAACAAATATCAGTTTTTAAGATCATATTTTAAATAATCACTGCTTCTTATATAGGTTTCAAAGAAGACCGCAGAACAGCAAATAAATGAAAAGCAGGTATTTTTTTTCTCCCAATAATGTTTTTACTGTACATTTTGTAGAAAAAAGGAAATAAAATAAATAAATAAATAAAAAGAAAAGAAAAAGGAAAAAAATATTCTGATCACAGGGATGTCATTTCTAAAACTCCGAGTAGGAAACATGACGAATACAAGATCAAGTACACAGCCATGTCACAATATATCTCTGCACCTTTAAAAAAAATATACATAGAGTTTTTTCATGTATTATTTGTTCTGTGCCTTGCACTCTTTCTACATGTCTTTTACAAAATCATAGGAACAATGTGCAATTTCAGAATGGTTCCCAGCAGCTAATCATTGGCAGCCAACAAATAAATAAACAAGAAAGACAGTTGTAGTAGCCACCAAAATACTGGAAATCACAGTAAAGTCACTGAGGACAATAAGTCACTGAGGACAATGGGCCATGTGCATTCCCAAAACCACAGCAATGCTCCCCAAAAGGGAATCTGAGAATCATTTTACAAGCCCTAAAGAGCTCCTGTTCTTAGCAAATAGCTTAGTGTGAGGGACAGGGGCATTGTAGGAGACTGGGGACTGGGGAAGGGCTGGATGATAATGCAGGGGAACATGGGGGACTCCCTGCCCTGTGACACCCAAATTTCACTCATTTTATGTGGCTAATTGGGAACATACCCAATCCACTGAAACACACAAAAACTTAACATTTCATGTGATGCTACTGGTACAGTCAAGCTGTGTTGTGGTGACTGTACAGACAAAAGAGCTTTTGTCACAATAGGGTGAAAATTTGTGTTTTCTTTGTCAGTTGAGCAGAGAGTGACAGTGTGACCTTTGCCAGAAGCAATTGTATTCATAATGTAGACGGTTCATGGGAGACACTTTGGTTTTCCCTTTCTTTTTCCTTTAATATGAAATCTTCATATCTATGTTTCCCATCTTTGATAGCAAAATCCCCACAAATATCAATAGCTGTTGCAATCTGCTTTTAGCACCGAGAAGCAGAGACTATGAAGAAGATGGAAGAAAGGATGATTTTTTAAAATTTATTAGCTCCTGGATTTCCACTTTTTTTTTTTTTTTTTTTTTTTGGTGGTATTGGAGGTGGTTTATAGAGTACTTCAGAAATTTGATCTTTGTACATATCTTCTTTTCATCTAGGGGATTTGATAAGAATCTGACAGTCTGAAGACAAAAACAAAAATGCAGGGAAACACGCTTTCTTTCAGGGAAGAAAACAAAACAAAACTAAAAAACTAAACCAACTCAAAAGCAGTAGCAAGGCAAAACAAAACAAAATAAGTAAATTAAAAAAACAAACAACAAAACAAACAAACAAACAAAAAACCACTAACTCCCAACCAAAAACCCACTCAACAAGTACTGATATTTTCCCATCTGTCATAGTTAACACTACGAGATTAAGATGAAGAATTTGCTCTGATCTGTCCCTGTGGAGGCCGTGCCTGCACTTGTGAGAAAATCACTTGCAGTAAAAAACAGATGTGTTCTAGCACCAGTCTTACATCCACAGAAGCTCCTTTCTGTGAACGAAAGAAAAGGAAAAGGTGCCCTTAAAAAAAAAAAGAAAAAAAGACCACCCCTCCAAAAACAAAACCAAAAACAAATAACACCTTTAAAATTAAATTTATGCTGTTGAACCCCTTTTCATCCTCCGTGTTTAATCTTGTTTGACAGTTCACCAAGAGTCTGAGAAACTTTTGGAAAGCAATGCTAAATATAACTAGTAAAATCCTTGAAACAATCACACATGGTTCAGTTGGGTCCAGACAAAAATGGTGCCATGCGTGCCTATTCACATTTCAGGACCTTCTTTCTCCTTTAGCATCTCTAATATTTATTTATTTATTTTACCTTTCTTATTGGCCAGTACAACTGAAAACATTTACTCCCCTCTCCTTCCAAATGCATGGCTCTGCAGCAAACCACACTCTATAACACATGATGGGAGAAGATAGGGGGAGACACTGATATTTACACCGTGCTTTCCATTACCCACTCTGAACTCCCGTAAGTCCCTTTTGCCCCTGTTAGGTCATTGTCATCATACTGTAAAAGCATGCCATTCACTGAGAGGCTCCTCTTTGTCCAAATGTTTGTTATCTTTTTTGGGTAGGTGCAACACTGAGATGTGGCAAAGTCCCCCATGTCAAAAGAATGGCTACGTTTAGTTTTGCCCTCCAAAGGCAACATGAGGAGGCTGCGAAATTTGGACTCCGGCTGGCCCAGCAGTGGCTCTTTGTCTGAGTGACGAGCCACAGTGGAAGTTCTGGAGTCTGTCGTCTCCTCCTTTTTCTGACATTTCAGTTCCAGGGAGGCAAAAGCTCCCATTAGCCGGTCAATATTGTGTTTTGACCTGGAGGGGGGCCTCCATTTACTGGACAATGTGCCCTGTTCACTTTGGAGGCTATAGTTATCACAGTCACGGCTATTCAGAGAGCTGGAAGAAGAGGAGATGCTGCTCCGCACAGACTCACAGTTAAACTCCATAAGTTCATTTCTCACCACCACTTTGGGGTTGACTTGGGGCAGGACTCCATTCTGAACTGGTTGTGCTCCATTTGTCTGTGAGTAGACATTGCTGACGTTGGACATCTTCCCCTGGGAATTGTTGCAGACCTTGTAGCGTACCATGAGTATTACAATGAACACCAGCAGAGTCGCCACAATGATGCCTCCAATGACCAGAATCATGGTACCTCCCAGGAACTGGCTGTGCATCGACTGGCACTGAGGGTAGTCTTCTTTGGTGAAGAACTGGGCGCATCCCACAATGTTGGTGGCAGTAAGGGTCGTGGCTGTGTCATCCCACATTGCCAGGACACAGAGGTCATAGCCTGTTCCAGAAACAAGGTTGTTTACGACAAAGGCTTTGTTTGTAGCAGGAATCATCCTTAAAAAAAAAAAAAAGGGAGGGGGGGAGAGGAAGGGGAGAGAAGAGATAAGAGAGATAAAAGAAAAAAATGGGTTATTATTGACACTGAAGGAAAAACAAGAGAAGTCAGTTTGGATACTGGCAGAGAGGAGTCAGAGGCTTAAAGTTCAAACACGCATTCAAAGTTCCCAGTTCCTGTGGGTCCAACATCCTAGCACAAATGCCCACACTAATGCAGAAGTTTGAAGACCATCTCTCAAATGTGCAACAAGTGGAATAAGAAAAAAACAAACCAAACTAGTCTGTTCTTTTTCTCTCCTCACATCTGCCTGACCTAATCTTAAATATATTAAAACCTGAACAAATAATTCAGGAAAAAAAAAAAAAGCCTACAAAGAGCAGTTCTTTCAGAGTGTGCAAATGACCTTTGCATTTGCTAAATGTGAACCTGGCAGTCATGATAGTGCTTTATGGGTGTCTGAACATTTACTGTGTAACACTGACAGGTTACTTACCTTGTGAATACAAGAAGCTACATTTAGTTCTCATATTTTCTGAGAATATGAGGCAGGCAGCCACTTCTTTTTCTTTTCAATTTCATACCCCTTCTTCCCCTCCCTTTTCCCTATCCTTCTACTCCTTACTGCAGAAAAAAAAATGTCTCCTAGAAATGCAGCTCTCTGCTCTGCCAGAAAATTCTTCTTAAAATCGCTTTCCCTATTTCAGTGAAAAAGAAATATTGGCATTGGCAGTATAAGCTGTGGAAGTGTGAGTGTGGAAAGGTAGGGAGATATGGGAATGGAAAAAAGGTAATTAATTTAAAATAATAATAATAAAAAAATCTAGTCAAATCCAACCCCAGTTACAGTAACTAAGTTTACTCCAACTTCGGTTATTTATGGATATTGTTATTTGCTGCCACAAAACTTAAGCAGTCATTTGATCTCATAAATTATTAGAGCATCACTGGCATTTAAAATTAGCTGTTGGGAATGAAAACGGTCTATACCCATTTCAACTGGTGAAAACTGCAGCATAACTGCAGGTAGACAACGAAGTACCTCAGATTCAGTGGTTGGTGGGAAGCCAAGAATAGAGTCAAAGAAGTACCCCATGCTTTTTTTTTCTCTTTACTTCCACATAATAACAGGCTAGAGGGAGACAAAACAGCTGAGCTTAGAATCAGCCCTTTCTGATTTAGAGCTACAAATCTCTAGTACCAGTGACAAAGTTCACCACACAGCAAAGCTGGTGCGAGCTGGTGCGAGTGTAATTGGGACAGTAAGGCTAGGCCAGAGGAAAAAGGCATACTGTTTGTGGGTGTGCCAGGCTGTTTTCTAGCCCCAAACAGCCATCACAGCTAGCACACATTATAGCACTTCAGTGACTCTTCTGTGCAGTGTGAGGGAACAGACCTGCATAGAGGAGCAGCATAAGGGCTCTGCAAAGGTGGACATCTGATCATTTTTGCATTTATACACATCCCGCACTTACATATCCCTTCATTCTGGCCACAGGCGAGGATGTGGCCCCTTTTTAAAAATCAATCAAACAAACAAAAAAATCTGTACGTAAATGTAATATCAGTGAGAGACACCTGGAATATAAATATAACTGGGTAAGTTTACTCAATATTATATTTGAAATCCTTGGTACATTTATCATCCTAATAGAGATGCTCTGTACAGACATATATGAGCTGTTCAGAATGAGCTGAGAGGACATAAAGCAGCCCTCCTGGAAAACTCCATGTACGGTTGCTAAAATGGTTATTGATAGTCACAATGGTTGGTCTTGAGTTATTTCTAATTGTTCCCTTCTCCTGCGGCTCTGACAACAATACACCGTTGGCTACAATAGTAGCTGGGGCAAAGCTTGCTCAGTGTTGAATTGTTTGAGGAACAGTTTTGTACTGTTTGTATCCACAGACCACAGTACTGATTGTTCCTGTTGACTATTACTGTATTTCTCCTTTCCGCCAGTTGTTGCCGTAGTTCACTACAGTATTCTCAGGCCTGTGAATAAGTGGGCCAGTGGGCCAGCTGTTACAGCTATTTCTATCTGACACATATTCTTACATTTTCCAGTTGATCTACAAGCAGGGGCATGCTGACAGCCTTAAAGGAAGGCCCTGGTGCTGATCAAAATACCATTACTTATTGTCAGTTCAGTCCTCCTCAGCCAGATGATTCCCTCAGCTCTCCCAGGTCCCAGAGACTGCAGGGGTATGTCACACATCCCACGCTTCGCTCTGCTCCAGGGGGTGGGAAACTTTGTCTCAATTCTTACTATCTTACACAGGCTTCATCCTGCCATAGTCTCCATCCTGCCAATGGAATGACATATGCACACACCAACGATTACACATGGAATAACAGGATCTTATCAATTTTCAAATGTACAATCTTCAGACTCAGGAACAGTTTCACCAATCACTTCATATATCCTTCTGTAACACCTAGCGTTCACTTTCCACCATCACCCTCAGCTGCATGCTTAAAAAATTCTGCAGTGTGTGAGCCCTTCAGAAATTGTTTCACTATGAAACCTCATTACAAACCAGTAGCATAGTTAACAGAAAGAATAGACAGCCCTGCAAAACAGAGTCTCAGTCTTGGATCATAACTCATGAAAAACAGAGCTATTGCACCATCTGCTAGAGTGGTTCCTTTTGCTTTACACTGATGAAACACAGAGAGATCTTTTTATTCTATCTGAGGAAATAGAAAACAAATGAGTTTACATAGCATATAGCTTTGCACATGTCTTATACAAATAGAAGATATACAGTATTTCAGTTTAACACTCCATGCCAATTTATGTAGAATGAACACTGGTAACTTTAATCATTTACAACTTGTTTTCTTTGTATCTGATTACACATAAGCTCTCAAGGAAATGTAGTTACTTGGAACATTTCAGTGACAGTGGCACAAAATATGAGCCAGTCCATTTTTAAAAGTATGGCAGTGAGGCCAAAATCAGTCCTAAAGTTGAAACTTGTAATGAAAGCTCATCTTAGTCTTCCAAAGAAACTGAGTCATTTCTCAACTCAGTCAGTCCTGGGAGCTACAGCTGTGATAATATTGCTACTAATAATAGTTTTGTAAAAGAACACAGTTGCAATCCCAATTATGGTAAAAGCAATCAACTCCCCATATACATTTAAAGTGAAGAATTCTGTATGTTTCCATAAATAAACTTCAAATGTTCTTGTAAAATATTCAAATTAATGTTATTGTAGGAGAACAGCTGAGCATAAGAGTAAGCACCAAGTTCAAGTCTACTAAGAGTTAAGTAATTAATCTGAGACTCAGTTTTCAAGCTTGTGGGGAAGATCTTGTTTTCATGAAGCTGCCAAATTGTAAGAGTATTTTGGTATGCTCTCCATGCCCTAACCCACCCTCCCCAAATGCACTGCCAGTCAGCTATGAAGGATGACAAGTCTTAACATTCCCCACACCTAAAATTGGTTCAGACACATTTTCACTCTGGGGTATTGATGATGCTTTGATTGTCCTCAGCACAGGCAGCTGCAAGATACCACTTCAATCTCTGCTTTTCTGTGTCACCTCGGTAGTCAGTCACTTCATGGCCACTGTGCACATTTAGCAACATCAATCATGGGCAACTGTGCCCTGCCATTGGTACTCAATAGCCAGGAGATGCCACAGAAACAAAAGGGCTCTTTAAAACTGTGGCTAAGCAGAACTCCCTTAAAGCTTTGTTCAGTCAGTTCAGGAATACTAAGCACAGAAAGTTGGTTTAGTTAACCAGAATCTATTGGCCAGATCATTGGAGGACATAAAAAGCAGCTTTGCTTCTTGATGCAAGGAGCCTGATATTGCCCACCAGCTCTGCAGGGCTGTGTGGGTCTCTTGAAGAGCTGCTTGTTATTATGGAATGGGAGTAAAGATCTAAATTTGATATTAGCCTTTCTTTAGGGAAAAAAGAGTAACAGTTGACTAACTGCAAGAGTAAATCAACTAGCAAAATTCTTGCTTAATTTTAAAGTAATGCTAAGTTGTGATAAGTTTTAATGTGTGCAGTTTAAAGAGCCCAAGAATATTAAGGCCTGAGAAAGTGAAAGAGTAATTAAATACGTAAATGGTGTAAGTGTAGGGACATAGTTCCCAGAAGAGCATCTAAAATCAACAAGCTTTAGATAGAGAATCTACTTAACAAAGGACATTTAAAACCTTAATTAGAACACCAAGAAATTTGAAAATATCTGCAAGTTTTTGTTTTCTCCTTACTGAAATTTCAAAATCCAGACACATAAGATGGTAATTTCTGTACTTCTCCTCTAGTTTATTTTCTTTGTGGTAGGAGTAGCAGGAAAATCTCCACATTGGCAACATAATTTCTTATTTGTCTCTTAAGATAGTTTCTGAATCCTATCAGTGAAGATCAAAATACACTAAGGAAAACTGCTCTTATAAGGACAAGATGCTAAACCCTGCAAAAATCTTGCCTCTAAGCAATGAAATGAGCAAGGGGGTCTTACAACCTCTTTAAGAAACAAAAAAAATCTCGTCTCATCTTTTGGCACAATGACAACACTTATTGGAAGAGGAGGGGACCTGTGGCCAGGACTGGAGTGTGGCACGTGTGTGAAATATAGTAACAATAAGCACATGCTTTTATGTGAGTTTATGTATGATGAAGAGCTAGGAAGATGAGCTGAAAGTTTTCAAGGCTTATTCAAACAACACATACCCTTCAATTCATGAAAATTTGTCTCATCTTCTGAAAGCATCAAAATGAGGCCATGACACTATTTCTTTCCAAAAAAGAAAACAGTGTTAGCACCCTTCTTTAAAATAAGCCTTATTTTCTATGACCATTGCTAAGAAACCCTTGTGATGTCCTTGTAGACACAACATATGTAAAGCAAATTTGTAATTATTCCCTTCAGTGTGCAGAGATATTAAAAAATTTCAAAAAATAAATGACTTAGAAATACAGGAGAAAAAGGGTTGCTGCAAACTTCACTCATAATCCCAGATGCAAGAGAG